CATTACATTCACTTACGTGCTAATACCCTCGGGAAATGTATGAATCCTCTTCTTCTGCCCCACCCCAGCTATGGGTAAATAACGGAACAGAATCGAAGCAGAACAGTGCTCTAGCCTTGGCCACTGGTCTACTGAAAGAAATGGCAACCTTACATGATCGCCTAAGTGCGTTTCACGCATGGCACAAAACTGACTGAAGGAACTCGACTACGATTTGAACACGGTTCTCGGATTTTTAATTCCAAACAGCTATCCATAAAAATGCAAATATTATTGTTTTTGTGATTATTATTATTATTATTAGTAGTAGTAGTAGTAGTAGTAGCAGTAGTAGTAGTAGTAGTAATAGTAGTAGTTTCATGATATAGAAATGTATTCCCAATTCAAGATGATATGCTTTTACGGGATAATAATATTTCATCTTTTACCCAATCTCAAGGTTCCTTCTATCAAGTCAAAGGGTAACATCCCCATGCTTTAAAGAAGCCTTGGTTCACCTTCAGTTGAAAATTACAATTATCTCATATTTAAAGGTTTCAAGGGTCACCCCTTCTCTATGAACTTGTGAAATGGTTTTAATTCCCTGGACGACAATTTGTGACGATATGATTCAATGTAAATTTTTCCATCACCCGATGGACCCATTTTCAGTAGCTCGGTCAATCCAGACAGCGATACTTATTCATTATTAAACGTTGAAAAGGATAAACATGGGATAGGATTATGTGTAAATAAGTCACAATATAGATAAATATAATTCTGTAATTGTGTTTCAAAGTATATACAAAATAAAAATATGTTTTCTCCATTCGACCCTTTTGCTTTTAGAATCTGTGAAATATTATGAGCTCTTGTACGCGCATATACACATATAAATTATGGATTCTCACGTCGTTTTCGACGTATGTGAGTTCATTTTGTCAGTTTTTATAATCGATCAGCCAGACTAACTCCACATAGGATTTCATTATAGAGATGAGGCACTCATCACCAGAGGCAGCAGAATTTGAAAAAAAATCGTTTATTGAGTGGAGTGATGGATAGCAGCACGATTTGAAGAATCGGAGAGCCGAGTTCGAATTACAGTTGAACCCATTAGATTCACTTACGTGCTAATACCCTTGGGAAAGGTATGAAACCTCTTCTTCTATCCCCCCAAGTAAATACGAGAACAAGCCGGGTTCTATAGTCTTGGATGACAACGTCTACCGCAGAAAGAAATAGCAAACCGCAGAAAAAACTATCTGCCTCGTCAGTCATCGATCGGAAGATACATGATCGCCTAAGTATCACGCATGGAACATAACTGACTGAATAGTTCTTGATTGGTCTGCAAATAGCGCAGAGGAATGATCAATAAGAATTCCATCCGAATCGTATAGAGGAGATTAAAAGTCGTTTTACCGAATCTTGAAGAATTGAAGAGAGTCATCACTTGAGTTAATCTTTTTGTTACAACAGACAACGAAAGAAATGAGAAAGACAAAAGTTGTTACAACAAAGTATTGATATACTAATACAGTTTTTTTTTTCAAACTTATGTCAATTAATAAATAATTTGTCTTGACAGAAAAACAGCTTTTTTTTTGTTATTCGCTATGCAATTTTCAAATTTCAAAAATTTCTCTTTTTAAATAAATTGTTTGTGACAACGATATTATTTTTTGCATATCGATTTGATATATCTTTACTTTAATTTTAAAGGAATTCAAGCAAAAATTATAAAAGTTATTCGCAAAATAACACGGAACATTCCATTTGTTATATATATATATATATATATATATATAGATAGATAGATAGATAGATAGATAGATAGATAGATATGTGTATGTTTGTGTGTGCCTGTGTGCGTGTATAGATAGATACATAGATGCAGACAAAAGAAAACTCATCATAGCCGAAGGATTCGTTCCATGAGTGGGTTAATCAGGCTAAATATAAAGATTTTATTATTTTTAGTTATATATATATATATATATATATATATATATATATATATATATATATATATATATATTCGAAAAATATAGTATAAATATGTTATATGTTATTTTATTTCAACACTTCTTGTGTCTTATCAAGTGATTATGTTGAATGTAGATAAAGGGTTTAAAAGATCCAAATCAATCAAACACACCTCGCTAAAGGAAACGCTCTTACATAAACAATCAAAATACAAGTATACGATAATTCATATATATATATATATATATATATATCTGTGTGTGTTTCTGTGTGTGTGTGTATTTTAAATTAAGAAACGCTCATAAATATTCATGAATGTTCAGAGTAAAGTTTACGTAAGTTGTCGAGGACGCTGAGTGACATAAATTAATGTCTAATGAAGGAATGTGTGTCAAAGTTGTTTTTGAAATGTTTAAGCAAATTACTATTTAAATATATTAGATTGGGATTAATTTATGTGTTATATAATTTAAATCAACTGAGGATAGGTATTTAACAATATGTCGTGAATATTGGCTTGGGAAAGTAGTAATTCTTTCGGTAATGGGGATATTTGTAAAAACTCGGGGTGCAGATTTATATTTTGATAAGATTCGATAGCGGCACTCTCAAGAATTTTCCGTCTACGTTTTTTTTCCCTTTTAATAAATGCAGTATTCTTTAGATTAAATTGTGACAGAATTTATTTATATGTATAATTGATGAATTCCGTAAATTCATGCGCATAAGATCCCTTTTGTGCTCATAAATACATTTTTTATATATATATATATATATATATATATATATATATATATATATATATATATATATATATATGATTACATGCGTACAAATATGTATGCCATGTACATAAACACACACACATATGTCGGCTATGGTGAGTTTTCCTTTGTCTACATCTATCTATCTATCTACACATACACCCACAGGCACACGCAAACTTACAACATATCATTCATCTATCTATCTATCTATCTATCTATCTCTATCTATCTATCTATCTATCTATCTATCTGCACACGCACACGCAAACATAGAAACACACATCTATCTAACTATCATCTATCTATCTATCTATCTATATCTCTCTCTCTCTCTCTCTCTATATATATATATATATATATATATATATATATATATATATATATATATAAACAAATAAAATTCTTCTGTAATCCCCATTTCAGAACAAAGATATATTTTGAACTGAACAATGGCAATTCACTTACCTGCCTTTGATGGTATACGTTACACTTGTGGGTTTTCGTTCATTCGAAAGGTGTTTGATTCCTTCTTTTTATATTTTCCAATATTAAATAATGCTTTTCAGAAGTTTTTATAAACTTCAGGATATAACATTCCTTGTAAACTATTCCGAGATGTCACTACATTTAATCTTTCCTTTTTGATGTTTCCTGGCTTTGAAGTATATTCACAATATAGAATCCAAATAAGTCCCAAGTAGCGAAAGTAATATTACGAACAACATATACCTGCTATGGTAGGTAAACAGATAATTCGTAAGCCAAAAAATAGGTGCATTACTAAATTTCGTAAAAGTCATCGGGCTTAAGCTTTAAAAAACGGTTTCCCTCAACAAGGGTTATTTGTTCCTCACATTTCTTTTCCTTTTGTTACGTAGATTATTTATAGTGATTTTCCAAGCCTGTCTTAGATGTGGCGCAAGGCTGAAAGTGTAGGGCGCCCAGTAAAGATCGAATCACTACTCAGTCTTAATTGATCTAGCAAGACATTGTTTTTAACCATTACACCGTCATGAAGTGCCTCTAGATCATTTATATTCAGACAAATCTTTTCAACTTCGTTGTTACTTAACAATATTTCGACCATCTTCCACTGCCTGTTGCTACGGGTAACTTGTTGAATTTTTTTTACAAAAGCATAACAAATTAAAACCACGTAAATTAATGTAATGTTAACGCTATGTGACATTTAATTCCAGAAATTCGAATATATTTTTTCCTTTCTTTTAAATTACAATACTTTCAGCAGTTTAAATTGTATCTCGGGGTTTTGAAACAGACAAAAATAACATATTTTTCCGCAGTTAAATTAAAATTAAAATATTTTCTCCTTGACAAAATTAATCACAAATTTTTGGAATGATGAATAATTTTATTTCAGATATTTGAAAATCTTTCAAAAACTTAAGTAATATTATTCTGTTATTCATTATAATAAAAATCAGCGAAACTTGAATGAGTAGAGGCAGTTTGAGAACCAGGGATTAGAAACTGTCTTGATATTTACTGCTTCTCTGGCCAAGTAAATACTGACGTTGCCATATTACATATTATTAACCTGGGGTACGCCATATTAAAAGGGCTGCTAAACTTGCTTACTGTTATAGCCACATACGATAAAGTTCAAATGTTTGATTACAAAATTTGGCAATACTTTTTTGTTATGCATTAACATTAAACGTTTTAAACCAATGTGGTCTCAATCCATACCCAGTAAATAATTATAATTTTTCTTATTTAATTTTTATATTAACTGTGATGAAAAAAGGAACTGAGCCAAAAGATTTCCATGAGCCGCATATTAAAAGTTTAAGAGCCACATATTAAAGGTCAAAGAGCCGCATATTAAAGGTCAAAAGCTGCATATTAAAGGTCAAAGAGTCGCATATTAAAGGTCAAAAAGCCGCATATTATAGGTCAAAAAGACGCATATTAAATTTCCTAGAGCCGCATCTGGCGCACAAGCCACCGTTTAGCCACCCCAACCATATTCATTAAAAATGAAAAATTTGAGCCTTGACTACTGCTTTATCGAAATGACGTAATGCCCAGCCACCGGGTAAACAGTGGTAGAGAAAAATAACAATGCCCAGCCACCGGTTGAACGGTGGGTAAACACTTGTAACTATTTTACTCGCATATCTACCGTGAAACATTATATACCAATCATTTGCGAATTTTGACTCAGGTGTCCCAGGCAGAAGAGTTAAAATTATTCAGGAACGCCGGGCTCAAAGGGTTAAAACAAAGTCTTTCGGTATAGGCTTATGGCCATATCACATTGAACAACCAGTTCTCGTCCGATCACCGAAGTTAAGTAATGTCGAAGCCAGTTAGTACCAAGATGGATGGCTGTTTGGGAATAGCATGTGCTGTAAACTTGCATGTGTGAGAGGGTAATAGACAACGACTCGGAATGAGAATTCACATAGCTGTGTTCGAAATCCAGTCGGGTTTGTTAGATTCACGCGAAAATAATCTTGGGCGATCGTGAATGGAAAAGAGACATGGTCGCCTAAGCGTTTCATATACGCCCCTACCGACAAATATTGCATCAGCACGATAGGGTAATGACCCAGTCGCCGAATCTACGTCCAACAAAGGATATTCACACGCTGACAAAATGATATATCAGCAAATACTTTGAAATAACCAGAACGATAAATATAATAGTTACAATCTTTGCAAAAATAATTAATCGTGAACTCTAATACATTTTTAGCCAAATATAAGAGTTTCTAAATATTTTAAAAAGATTCCTGTTTGCTTGAAGCAACAAAATCTTAAGTATATCCCAGTGAATAACTCTTTAAGAGGGAATATCTTATCACCTTGGCATTGAGAAATGGCAATTCTAGTGTGGAATGTGTGCGAAAATGTTTACTGAAGAAAAAAAGAAAGAAAAACGGGTGATTAGTCCGGATTCTTTTTTGTTTCTAATCTTAAATGTTCTACTAAATTAAATGGTTGGATTGGCCGTACAAAAATAAGGCAAACATTTGTCAGCGGTGGAGACAGAAAATTGACCGGATGATAAAGATGGATTAGCAATTTGGCAGAAACTCATTTCTACGTCCTCTTCCAAAATGAAATTAGAAAAAAAAAACAAAAACAAAGAAAACAAAAAACAACAACAAAAAACAAACCCTAAACAGATGAAATAGTATCGGTCTTTTATTTTGAGGGGATAATTATAATTACTTCCACAATTTGTCCAAGCTAGGTCGGGGTTGGATGCTGAGACATGACTGCCACTAAGTGCTGATCTCGGCCGAGCACATTCGTATTACTTAAAAATAAAAATAAATAGTAAATAAGAAAGTTTAATAGCATTAAAACGAACGAAATACCACGAAATATAACGGAGAAAAATAATTTTAAATATTTATGAAAAATGACGAAAAATCTAAAAATATAAAATATAAAAATAGTTTTATATCGAAATACATTTTTCAAAAATGTCGTATATATTTCAGTATTATAAAAAGATTTAAGATTTAACTATGAACAAATAATATTCAATCAGTCAGTTATGTGCAATGCGTGATACACGCTGAGGCGATTATGTATTTTTTGATACATGACTGACGAGGCACATTTTTTCCCGCAGTAGGTTGCCATTTCTTTCTGCGGTAGATCAGTTGCCATCTAAGTCTATAAAACTCGGTCTGTCCTGTTATTTACCCAGAGATGTGGGAAGAAGAACATGTTCCTTAAGAGTATTAGCACGTAAGTGAATTCGAACTCGTTCTCCAATTCCTCACGGTGGAATAAGGGATAATTTGTTCGGATTGAAGAATCGGAGAACCTGAGTTCGAAGTTTGAAATCATGCATCCAATATATATATATATATATATATATATATATATATATATATATATATATATATATATATATATATATATATATATATATTACCTGATATTAATATTGATAATAAAGTAATTTAACTATAATAATTTGAAATATTTTATATTAAATTCTATTTCTATATCGAAATTTTTATCAATGCTTTTAAACTAAACTTACGTATTGTATCTTATTTGAAATGTTTATTTCTATCGAGTACATAAAAAAAACTTTCTCTTAAAAAAGAAACTGGCTAAGAAAATTCTTTGCATCTCGAATGTGAAGTTGCGGCTTCTTGTAGGCTAATTCTCACAACCAGAGGTGACAATTTTTGCCTCGAATGATCATTTCTACCCCGAGAGACTCAATGACTATATATTCAAGTGATTTCATTATTATTATTATTATTATTATTATTATTATTATTATTATTATTGCTGTTGTTGTTACTATTATTATTAGTAGTAGAAGTATTACTAATAATAGTAGAATTATTCTTAGTAGTAGTATTAGTAGTTGTCCTAGTATTAGTAGTAACAAAATGATTTACGTAACTATTTCAATATTTTGCAAAAGTTTTTTTGTTTTATTTAAATCATTTCACACAAAGCAAGGCAATAAATCCACTAGGATGCAAAGGTGTACTTAATCTTAGAGAATATGACAAAAAAAATTTACTATTAAATAGAGAAGACAATAAAAGAAGACAGAAGATAACGATTGAAATTGTATTTAATTTTTGAAGATCAAAGTTGACTGGAAAGCAACAAGCTAGAAAAAGTGTTCCACAAGCAAGAAGTACGATTGAAGTAAGATTGTTAGCATAGGACTTACGGCTACATCTAGCCATTTCAATTCTAAAAAAAATGTGATCATGCCGCCGATCTAGTACTGAGCTTAAATTGATAATGTCTAGTGTCATAGATGAAAGTTCATAAAAACATGAAAGTATTTATAGTAAAAGAACAGGGAAGCTATGTTATGGCGTTGAGAAAGTCAGGACCAATAACATTGCATTGAATTTTATCCAGAATCTCTAAATATATTGCTGGAACACCACATCAGATCTAGCAGCAATATTCAAAGCAAAGACGAAAAGAATGCGATTTAAGTAAAGAAAAATTAAAGACAAGGTTTCAAAATGTTAAACAATATATCGACATTATGTGTGTCTTATTACAGTTATATGTAAAATTAAATGCTAGTATAAAATATATAAAAAATACAAGTTCTTGTACAAAAAAGTCATTTGTACTGGTAATCAAAGCAACAAAATGAAGAAACTGAAACGTGAGTAACATATTGAAAAGTTCAGATAGATTATTTGATAGTAAGAGTAATTAATCAAATAGATTCGAATAAATCTTATGGAAGTTTCCTGTCGTTTTGTTCATTCGACTGAGAGTGGAACGTTAGTAGTTTGCTTATGTAATTATCTTCATGCGTTTTAAGGGTCGCTCATTCCTGAATATTTTTTGCAAATGTGTAATTTAAGATTCTGAAATATGTTCAGATAGGGAATTTGTCCATAAAAAATGTTAACTATATACTGATTTATTACCAGATACCATATTTATAAACCAGAATAAGAAGTACAATTCCTAAGCAACAACTATATATATATATATATATATATATATATATATATATATATATTGTGTGTGTATTTAGGCAGCATTTTTTAATTCATACATGAATTTACATAAAATAAATAGACAACACTTGTCTATATTATTTAATGAAACATGTATGAATATATATATATATATATATATAAATAAATATAGTCTTAAGGTGTGCTATATTATGGAATAAAGTGCTCAATATCAGAGATAGAGCGTGTGTAAATATAGTGAACATAGAAGTCAACACTCCAGAGGCTCTAAGTGTTGACTTTATGTTCACTTTTATATTTATTATATATATATATATATATATATATATATATATATATATATATATATATATATATGATACTGAAATATAGCTGCTTATTTTTTTTGTGGACTCCCAGTTAGATTATACAGAAGTCTTACAATCTTCAGCTGGTTCAAGGACGAATATTTCAGTATCTTGTCTTTGAATGGGAGGCTGACTTAAGGTGAAATGCAAGGTCTGGACTAATTGCATAAATTTCTTTTTGGGATTTTCTTAATAATTTCTAAATACATAACTCATGTACGGGAATAGATATGACAGCTATATTTAATGAATAAACTTACAGTAGACTTAAAACAGTGTGAGATAGAAATGACTACCTATTTATAAAACTGTTTGATCGATAGCCTAGTCTTCCACAAGGCCTAATTATGAGGCTGCCTGGTAAGTATAATAAATACTGCAGCGAGATGTAAATCAATATTGTTGTTTAAAACAAAACGACTTTGTACATCAGATTTTTCTAAATTTAATACGAGGTCAAATCGAAAAATATTTGTGAGTGTAGCTAGAGTAACTTAGCTAAAGTACACAGAGTGAAACTGCTTGATATAGATTGACTTTAAACCCTCACACGCGTACACCGTTGTTTATAGCAGAACTTGGAAGGGAAGTGTGTAGAGTGTGGTCGAACCACCACAACGCAGTAATTTCATCAGTGGCCATGATTGGTGCAGCAGTTTTTGGCCAAAACCAACATTACACAAGCCCCACAAACATCATATTCCCCGGATCACGTACCTTGCAAGGTTTTTCTCTTCTAAAATGAAAAAAATTCCAGTTGAATGAAACAATACTTCAAGACGTCGAGTGAATGCGAGTATTCCAAAAAATGCATTAATCAGTTGAATCGATGCTGGGTATAGTGTGTAGCTTCAGATGGGTACCACTTCGAAGGAGATTAAATGTTGAATAGATATGTGTTGTAGGTTTTTCTTTTTCTAGCACCTGATACATTTTTTTTATCAGATATCGTATATTCATTTAATTTATTCTCTATTTATATTAATAATAATCTGTGTATATCTCTGAGATGAGGTATTATGATTACTTACATTATTTACATTATTCGGACAGTTATCCTCATCTTCATTGCCATATTCACAACGTATCGGCCGTTGTAAGCCCCGGCATTTATGTCTGTGTCTTTTTACATATCTGTCTATATCTCTGAAAAGAACTATTATGATTACTTACATTATTTACATTGTTCGAACTGTTAACGTTTCGACAGTTGTATGCTCTGGACTTCTTCAGGTGATTGGAATTTCGAACAGAAACATTTATTTCATTCAGCGGGATAGATTGTTCTAGCTCCACGTTCCGGATCTCTCAGTTATTTCCCATTAACTAAACTCTTCTGTGTCCTATTGAACTCCTAACACTTTGGGTCTCGTCACTGGATATAACCAACGTCTTTATCCACTAGGTCATGTGTCCTTCAGGACATCTGCGTATGATTTTTTTTTTTACTTTTAAGTTTAATATCTCCGCAAACTTTTTTTTGCCAGTGCTCATATTTAATTTTTCTGTTATTATTATTATATTTATTACCAGAGCTTATATTGAAATTTTTATTGTTATTCATTG